CTATATATTTATATATACTATATTATACCATATTTATATTATATTATTATATTATTATACTTCGACGAGTATTCTTCGGTTCTTTCAAAATTCACGTATAATTCGACGATAATAACCGCCTTCGACATTGTCGCATAAACGTAAACAAGATCCTAAGGACATCTCAATTTAAACAAGGACAATTTATTCGTTAAATAATCTTACCTGGCAGGGTTCAAAGGCCAGTAACAGAGCGAGCCATGCTCCGAGCCACCGCGAGAACCTCATTTTCCGCGATCGAGTTAAATCCTGCTTGATCGGTGTGAACTTTCGCGCGTCACGTACCAAAGGAAAGATTCTATCGATGTAAGATTCGCCGCGCGCGCACTGTCATGGACGAGTTACGGACATGTCCTTGGCCAGGTGTTACTGTCGTCAGTGTCCCACGACGACTGAGGGCGACTCGGGTCGCAGAGGTAATTGCTATTCCAGAAGAGAAGGAGGGCACACAGCCGACTGGTCGGCGACTGGACAGTACCTGACCAGTTGGTGTTCACGTTCAGGGTCGAATTACGGATGACTGTTATTGACCGTCATCAGGGTCACCGGGACCTTTTGGACGATTTTCACCGTGATCGCTTTTCGTGCTCGCTCTTTTCCCTCGTACAGTAAACGACCCGGCGTCGATGCATTCATTAGTCGGTGATGTAATCCCGCGCAAAGAGCCTAAATAAATAATTGGTTCGACACGACGGATGCCGTCGCGAAGACGTAACCGTCGGAAAGGACGGCAGTCCTTCGCGGTTTGTTCTGTTCCCGAGCGACGATCCTACCATCGATTAGGCCGAGTTAGGAAATAAGCAGTCCGTGAAAGGATAATGCGAAGCGATTTGAGCCGAGATTTTCGATAAGTCGAAAGTAAGCGAGCGTAATTGGGGTTTTTACCGAAAGAGAAATTTATTAAGAGTTGTCTGCAACTCTTGTTGCGCTCGAAACGAAATGTCTCGAGCGTGGAAACGAATCGGAGCAAAACCGAATTTTTATTGGGAAACGATGATAAAAGCTGGATCGTTGAAATGTTCGCGGTTTACGTTAACAACGTCGCGCCGTCAATGCGGCGTAAAGTGTATTAAAGGCAACGGAGCATATTTCGATTAAATTGAACAGCTTTTGAATATAGATATGCAGTTTTATATATTCATTTAAAAATACGCTTAACGTTAACAACGTCGCGTTGTTAATACGGCGTAAAGTGTATCGAAGCGAACGGAGCATATTTCGATTAAATTGAACAGCTGTTGAAAATAGATATGCAGTTTTATATGTTCGCTTAAAAACACGCACACCAGCCTATAATATTCGAAGGTGATATTTCGAATGCGACGGCTTCGGCTGACTTGTCCGGACGCGCCCAAAATTCATTCTCGAGTGCGCATTATTATGCAGATTCCACGGGAGAGGTTTACGGCCACACACAGCCGCATCTTATACGCGGAGCTCTTATTACGTACGAGCTTGGCCGCGTCATTTGGTACCGTTTGGTACAGCGGGTGTCCCGCGCTAACGATACCCCGTCGCTCCGAGACCGAAAGAGCGGTTTCGTACGAGACATGACCATTAAGGTCTGGTTTTTCCACTTTCAGCTAAATTACGATGATGCGTTTACGTCTCTTCTCGGCCGTATGATCTTTGTTTCGCGNCATTCTCGAGTGCGCATTATTATGCAGATTCCACGGGAGAGGTTTACGGCCACACACAGCCGCATCTTATACGCGGAGCTCTTATTACGTACGAGCTTGGCCGCGTCATTTGGTACCGTTTGGTACAGCGGGTGTCCCGCGCTAACGATACCCCGTCGCTCCGAGACCGAAAGAGCGGTTTCGTACGAGACATGACCATTAAGGTCTGGTTTTTCCACTTTCAGCTAAATTACGATGATGCGTTTACGTCTCTTCTCGGCCGTATGATCTTTGTTTCGCGAGAGAGAGAGAGAGAGAGAGAGAGAGAGAGAGAGAGAGAGCCCGAAAAAAGCTGTTCCCGTAGTCTGCCGTGGACGCCGGCGAGAATTCCTGTTTCCACACGCAGGAAATTATTCGATAAAAAGAAACAGAAAAGTGTTTGAAACGCGCGGTGTTTAGAAGCACGGTATTTATGGCCTGCATAAAACGACAAGTTGAAAAACTACCCGCGATGCCTTCGTTTCTCGAAATACAGCGTGATTTTACGAGAGAACGCCGAAGGTCGTAGTTTTACCTTGAATTATAACGGACACACACACACACACATTCGGATAGATCGTTTAATTATGGCGAGATCGTCGATCGGCAGAAGAAATTAACATAATTGAAAGTTAAATAGATACGTTATATCTATTAATAAATATATAATTTGTGAAAGTCACGTGAGTATGCGTATCATACGTCGAATTCGTGACGACGAATAATATGAAGATACATATTTATACTAATATGTGCACGTTCGTTTCGTATTTTTTTATATTCCTCTATCTTTCCTTTATCTCTCTACATTTACGAGAGAATTGTGTATAAAATAATTTTATTATTAATAATTTTAAGTAAATATTGTGCGGTAATGTTATATATTGTTTGTTACAGTGATTGAAAAGAAAGAAAATAATAAGAAATACTTAAATGTTCAGCCAAAATGACCTAACTACCGTGTGCCGCGTCGCGCCGTTAGTACTATCTGTAATCCGAGGGTTGATATTCAAAATAAGAAACAGCTGTTTTCTAAATGTAAAAGTAATCTGTTCGAACGACGATCGGTCGAATTAATGCGCTTTTAAAAGTAAGAAATTACGACGCTCAAACTGCGAAAAATATGATCGAGTTTTCATAACTCTTCATTTAGTCGAGTGATTTCAATGCTTGGTTGCGAGCATGCATATACATGTACGTAAACGAGATACGTAAATTCTTTCTTTGCGCATCTTTTTCATAGATAACTGACTTGATACAGTACGTTTCAAGTCGATTTAGTCGATATTTTTACAGGGTGTTCCAGGCAACTTGCACACTTTTGTAACTTCCGAAGTATGCGCTGCACGAAAAATTGTTGTGTACGAAAGTTACATGGTTTATAAGGATACATTATGTAATGTATTTATCTTTTTCCTAGGTGGAGGCGTTTCGGAGATTTGGAGGTTTTCTTCAATGGAATACTGTATTTTTTATGCCAAAATATGGAAGAACGTCGGAATAATTAATGAAAAATTGAGTATTTATCTAACAATTTTATTTAAATATAAATAACTTTATATTTTACGTGAAAAATATGTTCAAAAAATAAAGTGAAAATACTCGTTAGTAATTATTATTAGTTTTAATATTAGTATTTACTATTAGTATATAATTTGTAGTATATATATATATACATATTATTATATATTATATACTATACTATATACATATTATTATATATTATATACTATACTATATACTATATAGTATATATATATTATATACTATAATTAATATATATGTATATATATATATATATTAATTATAGTATATAATTTATTTTTA